ATTTCGAATAATAGAAAATTAAATTGTGACTCTTAAATCGAAGGGTTTATCTGTGTTTTCACGGATGTTGTTTGCAGTTTGGAAACCAATGAGCAGTTCGTCCTGAAACACCTGTGTCAGGATTTATTATTGATCAGTATTGATGTGTGATCTGTTTGATCTGTGGAAAAACTGCAGCCCTAGAATTGGACCGCGTTGTTTTTGTTTTTCTCAACAGCATCCAGAAGAAGAGTTTGGATCTCCATGCTCGCCGCCATCACACTGGTGAGGCGTTCCCGTGTCAACAGTGCGACTACTCGAGCCCGGACCGCCAGCTGCTGCTGAGACATGTCCGCAGACACCACGCCCCCTCCCAGCAAGCTGCGTTCTGAACGTGTGCTGGTGTGACGGAGCTCGGCACAAAGTTTTATTTGTGGACTTTTTTAATGAAAATAAAAGCTTAGAAAAAATAATTTCTGTTCTTATTTATTCACTCTCAGACCTTTACTTTGAAAATATGAAGGCCTTAAACACTTTTTAACTTTGAAAAGGCCTCAATGAGCACATAAGGCGATCATGTGGCAGTCAGCTGATTATTAATCAGGGAATACTAGAATACTATTTTTATTGGAAATAATTGACAAATGTGAGTGAAGCAGCTGACGCCTCACCTGCTGCTCACCTGGACTCAAAATGAGTCAGAACTGAGCAGGTTCTGATTAATCAGGAACCAAAGACGTAACTCTGAGCACACGTCAGGGGGACGGACAACGAGCACCAGACAGATTCCACTCATCTGCATTTCCTGTTAGCTCACACATTAGCTTTGTGTAACAAACATTAGCTTTGTTTCAAGTTTCACTTCCAGCAGTGAAATTCTGCAGGTCAAAACTGACCATAAGATAAACCAAATCAATTCAATTCAGTTTTATTTACACAGCACCAAATCACAACAACAGTCGCCTCAAGGCGACGTAATGTAGACCCTACAATAATACATAGAGAGAAGAACCCAACAATCATATGACCCCCATGAGCACTATGAGCAACAGTGGGAAGGAAAAACTCCCTTTTAACAGGAAGAAACCTCCAGCAGAACCAGGCTCAGGGAGGGGCGGGGCCATCTGCTCCGACCGGTTGGGGAGGGGGAAGGAAGACAGGATAAAGACATGCTGTGGAAGAGAGACAGAGATTGAATAAAGAAAATATATTTTTATTAAAAAAGTAGAGTAAATAAATACAGATTACTGAAAATCCGGTGTGCCAAAGGCCACAACAGGAGGCACAGCAGGAGGCACTGGCCCCTGTCTGAAACCACCTGTGATCTTGTTGTCATCTGCTATCCACAGCCTCCCTTTAACTTGTAGTTTTTCAGCTCCTGATGTTTCCTATTAAAATATCAGCACCTTGGTTTACCAGCCCGTTCTCACTCCCGGGGCGTAGTATACTGACATTTTGTCACATCCCGCGGCGTTCCTAAGGAATGCCAAAGGTGACCTTTCGTGTTGTTATGGTCCGTGCCGGGTTATGGCTGAATCCCAGTGGAATGACGGTCCCACGGGAATAGATGTTCCAGCCATGTATTCCAGCCCTAACCTAACCTTATCCATAACCCTAACCAGCAGTTAAATGACGTAAAATAGTGTTTCCCAAAGCGATTTTAGGAAAATGAACGAACGTGTGTAGATTGAGTCGTGTCATGTGTAGATTACGCTTAGGGAGTGAGAACGTGTTGGGTTTGCACACACCTAGTGCTTTCTCAAATCTAAATACTGTTGTGGTTTATTCTATTCTCATGCATATAACCCAAAGTTCCTCTGTTTAACAATATTCCTACATCTCCACACTCTTTTGCTTCTCTAACCCAACCCTCTCTTGTATCTGCAGCTTAGCTCTGCAGGATCTGTAGTCTTTGTTTACCATTTACTAATGTTCATGTTTCACTCTCCCCTCAGCATCAGATGTATCAGTAATGATTCAAGAGTCTAAATCATCTACCCAGGGACCCTCCTCCCACTGTCCTAGTCTAAGCTTTTCTTGGTGGTGGACTTCCAGAGACGCAGACCCACCACACTGACACCGGTGAACATCCAGGGAGTGGACATTGAGATAGTGACTCTCATAGGTACCTGGGTGTTCACCTGAGTAATAAACTGGAGCCAGAACACTGATGCTCTTTACAGGAAGGGTCAGAGCAGACTCTACCTGCTGAGGCGGCTGAGGTCATGTGGAGTCCAGGGAGCGCTTTTAAAGACCTTCTATGACTCTGTGGTGGCATCTGTCATTTTTTACAGTGTTGTATGTTGGAGCAGCAGTTTATCGGCAGCTGAGAGGAAGAGGCTGGATAAACTCATCAGGAAGGCCAGCTCTGTTCTGGGATGCACCCTGGACCCAGTGCAGGTGGTGGGAGACAGAAGGCCAAAATAACATCTGATGGACAGTCTCCCAGCCCATGCATGTAGATGTTGCTGCAGAGCTGCTGCAGTGACAGACTCGATGCATGAAGGAGCGTTTCTGCTTGTGTGACAATTAAAGGATTATTCTATTCTTACCTCACTGGTTCCTCTTATTACCACCATTATTGACTCTTTCCTCGGTACTGGGACTGCTCCTCCATCATTGAAAGTTCACTTCCTGTGTCTGCCGGTTTTACTCAGATGACACTCAGCTGTATAAACCCAGTCCCCGCCCTGTGACTGCCTCGTGGAGGTTAAATCACGGCTCTCCTCCTGTTTTCTCAAACTCTGTAGTAATAAAACTAAAGTTTGTCAGCACAGCTTCCACTCTAACAAATCCCGCAGGTTTTCCATTGATAGTGACAGCTCCTCCAACCTGCCCTCCCCTCAGCTGTCGTTCCACTTCCTCCTTCAGAGTAATGCTGTCGTACGTATCCCTAACCTGGGCAATCCCTGCTTGTGTGAGTCACTCCACGCTGCCGTTCCCTCTCGTTCTCTTGGGTCTTCGTCTGGTTGTTCCCTCCGCCCGTCTCACCACTACGGGGAAGAGAACCGTCCATCTGTTTAACCTGGCTCACCCTCTCTGACATTGACTCCATATTGTTGTCCAATGCTGGTTTTTGCTACTTGTTTTATGCTTGGTACGGTTGGGTTTTAGTAGGGCGCCCACAAACAACATGTACTGAGATACTGAGATTATGACGTCGTATGAGTGGAAGAACAAACTGACCCACTGAGCTCTGAAAAACAAAACCATCCGTTTCCCCTCTGTCCTTGACTAATGGCATGACTTAATGATTGGGCTCATTTCGAGGACTTGGACAGGAAACGCTGTGACCTATAAACGACCATCTGACTGTGTTTTCACTAAAAGCTCATTAACCTCACGAATGGCCCACATTAACCTGCAGCAATCAGGTCATATCTGATCCAGATGTTTGCTTCTTCTCCGAGTGCAGAGAGTTAATGGATCGGTCAACTCGATAATGCGCCGCCATCCATCGATCAGGCCAACATAAAGAGCCGTAGCCTGACCGAGCCGGCACGCAGAGCCAACTGAGAGCGCTCGAGCCCACATCCAACCGATCCGGTTAGCGTTCATCATCCGACGGAAATCCTGTTAGCGCCACGCGGACATCCTGCCGGCATCCGGCTGCCATCGCGATGAGTCACATCCACTCGAGCAGGAAGTCAGCTCTGTGCCCTCTGGGAGGAAACTGCACTGAGCACCATCACCAGGTTAGGATGTCTAAACTGCTCCACCTGCCCGACCACGCCCCTACACAGAGTGTAGCCCAGTCTCACCTGTTTCCTACCGCGGATGTCCCTGACCACGCCCACTACATCATTGGCTCAGTCATCCTGTTGGTAGGGGTAACGGGCATGCTGGGAAACGCTCTGGTCATCTACGTGTTCTGTCGCAGTCGGACGCTAAGGTCGCCCAGCAACCTGCTAGTGGTTAACTTGGCGGCCGCCGACTTCCTGATGTCCTTGACACAGTCTCCGGTCTTCTTCGTGGCCAGCCTGCATCGCCGCTGGGTGTTTGGGGAGCTGGCCTGCGAGCTGTACGCCTTCTGCGGCGCTCTCTTTGGCATCACCTCCATGATAACGCTGACGGCAATCGCGGTGGACCGTTGCCTGGCTATCACGCGTCCTCTGGCGATGCTGGGTGGGGTGAGTCATCAGAGAGTGTTGGTGGTGGTGGCGGTTGTGTGGCTGTACTCGCTGGGCTGGAGTCTGCCGCCGTTCTTCGGGTGGAGCGCCTACATCCCTGAAGGCCTGCAGACGTCCTGCAGCTGGGACTACATGAGCTTTACAGCTGCTGTGCGCACGTACACCCTCCTGCTGTTCTCCTTCGTCTTCTTCCTCCCGCTCGCTGTCATTGCTGCATGCTACTTTGCCATTTTCCGGGCAGTGCAGCAGGCGGGGCGGGAGATAGAGCAGCTGAACCGTGGTGAGGTCAACAAGGCATATGAGCGTCTGCGCAGCGAGTGGCGAATGGCTAAGGTGGCTCTGGGAGTAATCCTGCTCTTCGTCGTTTCCTGGTCGCCATACTCTGTGGTTGCTCTCACCGCCACCGCCGGCTACGCGCACCTGCTGACTCCATACATGAACTCGGTGCCAGCTGTCATCGCCAAGGCCTCGGCCATCCACAACCCCATTATCTATGCCATCACACACCCAAAGTACCGCGCCGCCATTGGTCACTATGTCCCTTTTCTTCGCAGCGTGCTACGGCTGCAGGAGAAGGACCTGCGCTCCTCTTTCAGCTCAAGCGCCACTTCGTCTCGCTGTACCACTTTTACCAGCTCGCCAAAAGGTCGACTTAATGCCGGCGTCAGGACCAATGGCCACCAGGCTCAGAACCGCCTATCCTCCGTGTCTGACAGCAAGTTGTGCTGGATGGAGAGCGATGCCGATGTCTCAAGCAGAAGATCAGAGAGGCAGGCATTCTCAGAGGTCGCCGCTAACCCCTTGGACTCCGCCACACTGAGGCAGCACGTGGGCCACACCGACGCCAGTTCATCGGACGGCGCCGTGCTCGAGGCCAAACTTCTGCTGCCTCCTCTGTGATGCTGCTCTCATGGTTCTGCTCTTACTGGTCAAAGGTTTTGATCAGATGAGAGAAGAATCAGGGAGTGATGCAGGCCTTTGATGGTGATGACATCACTGTGTTGCTCACGGCTACGCAGCTGATTGGAAACTTGAGCTTCATGTGAATATTGATTGATTTTCCTGTGATGTGATCGATTCGGTTTTCTGATTAATTTGTCAGTAAAGTTCAGTTCAAGCTAAATTTCTTCAGGTTTGTTTTTTACCACAGAAACATGATGATGTGTGAGGCGTGACTGAAATGTGAAATCTGCAGCAGTGTTTGAGCATCAATATCTCCAAAGCTTCCAAAGATCAAACCCTGAAATGTTAGAAAAGCCAGATTGTTTTTTTTTACCTTCACATGAACCAGGATGTGTAATGTTCAAGAATAAAAAATGAAAGCCGCCCTGTAAAGTCTCCTT